AAACCTGAGGGCACCTCTCAGCGTGGTGTGGTGGAATGGTGCGATGCCGCTTCGGCGCCTGCGCGCAGCCTCGACGTTACTCAACCGAGCGCCAGGTGATAAGAACACTCTCGCCCACCAGAAGACAAAAATATTGTGTGTGCTGCCACGATCGAGCAGTTGTTGCTGCTACATATTTCGTACATCAAGGTTAGGTGTACCAGCACTATTTTTTCAAAATATAGTGAGGCTGTGAGTCGCCCGTTTATATGCTCGCTATTTCACAACTGCCTTGCCTGTGAACGTATTTGTGCAAGTGCATGGAACCACCACGTTACATGAAACTACCCCATTTTCTGATATATTTTTAAACGCGAAGCATTTCCTAGCGAACTTCGGCGACTTTGTGGATATCTATCTATCTATCTATCTATCTATCTATCTATCTATCTATCTATCTATCTATCTATCTATCTATCTATCTATCTATCTATCTATCTATCTATCTATCTATCTATCTATCGTCTGTCTGTCTGTCTGTCTGTCTGTCTGTCTGTCTGTCTGTCGTCTGTCTGTCTGTCTGCTGTCTGTCTGTCTGTCTATCTATCTATCTATCTATCTATCTATCTATCTATCATATCTATCTATCTATCTATCTATCTATCTATCTATCTATCTATCTATCTATCTATCTATCTATCTATCTATCTATCTATCTATCTATCTATCTATCTATCTATCTATCTATCTATCTATCTATCTATCTATCTATCTATCTATCTATCTATCTATCTATCTATCTATCTATCTATTGTCTGTTACCTCCTTTATGTGCTCGGAGTAGCAAAGAAAAGCACAGAATGAGTAGAAATTTGGCACACCTGTTTTTGATCGTATTGGCAGGCGCACGCACGGACGGGCGCATGGACGCATGGATGGTCACACAGACGGACGCATGGACGGACAGCAGCAAGAACGGTTGGACGGATGAATGCTTCGCCCCACTCTCCATCATTCACTCCATGTATAAGCTGGCATTTTTTTTTTATGCTGGGGTCCACCAATACTTTTGTCACGTATATCTCATGGTCCGAAAACTACACCATCTCCTCTCTGAAGGGAACCATGTATACATGCGAAGCAACAGGCGCTAACGCTTACACTGGCGGCGACGTTGACGCTGGCGCGCATTGGGGGCGACGCAGGCGAGAAACCCGGGGAGGTACAAGTCACACAATTATGGACCACTGCTTTCCCATCAGAAATGTCAATTGTTGTTAATCGGCAATGAGAGACAGAAGGCTTTGATTGGACCCAAGGATCCGCAGTATGCTTTTAGTTAGTGTGCAAGCTGCGATTTTTTTTTTTCGTTCAATAACACACAGGAGCAATATCCCACCAGCACTACCTTGGAGGTCAACATCTAGTGCATATATATACGGGATGGCCAGTGAGAGGTTGTGTGGTACTCTTTGTTTTACTTTTAGAACCACTCTGCAGTGAAGGTATTAGCAGCAATGAAATTAAAGGGTTTAAGTTACAGGCATGTGAAGTGTGTGTCTTGGCATACGCTGATGATCTTGCCTTTTTCGCTGTCGATACAGAGAGTATCGATTCGTTATTGAGAATAACTGAAAGGTTTTGTCATACAAACGGCAGTATAATGAATATTGATAAAAGCGCGGTTTGTGGCACGGCAGTTGGGAGCTTACGCCTGCTTCTTTTGCAAATATTCTATGTCTCACGACACCTAGCCGTTATATCGAGGTGCCACAGGACAGATATAAAAACCGCAAATTGATTTCGTTTGAGAAAATGGAGGAACTGCAGGTGACAACCGAAACGTGGGGTGGACGGGAATTATCGATTTTCTCTGGGTCCAGAATATGTAACGTTTTTCGAGCTGCTGAAATATGTAGCTTTTGCAAGCACTTAGTTTCCCACGTAGAATTAAGCATTCAGAAAATCCACAGGGTGTTTACTACATTCATCTGGAACTCTACATAAGAGTGCACGCCAAGAACAAGTTTGTTTCGCCGAGTTAAGAAAGGGGGTGTTTCTTCGTGTCAACTGTTTCTGAACCAAGTAGTATCTCGTTTCATGCTGTTAAGAGACCAGAGAATTGTGTTTTACAGCGAAAGCTGCTATGAGATCACAACTTTGGTCAGGCGCCACCGTAGTTGTCCGCCACCGCCATCACCGGTGTCCGTAACCACATTGCCCGAATTTAGAAAAAAAAAAAAAAAAAAACTAGCGTCAATGGCACAGTGAGGCATAGGTCCGCTGTGTGCCAGCTCGGTATTCTACCAATGAGCTACGCCGGTGCTTGACTTGTTGGCAAAGTTGCCTTAGGCAGGCTTGATGTCGGGAAAGCAATCGCGTTGATGCGACTTATAAAACGTTTTAAAACAGCGAAAGAACAACCTGTCGTCGCACAGTGCGAATAGCGTAACGAGTGGGTCGTCCAATGCTTCAATCCATTACAAAAGCTTGTTTTTGTTGACCTATTAACTGTACCGCATAATTCAGACATAATTCTTCATCGTCGCCAGCCAATGCCTGAACAATTGGCACAAAACTCCCTGCAAGTGTTTAGTGGATACCACACTTCTCAGGAGAATGACAATAATAGCATAGCGAATGCTGGCCTTCTACTTATTGATAATTAGTGGGTATCAAGCAAGTGTGCTTGTAGTATAGTTATCTAATGAGTGTTAAGAAAAGGCTCTGAAAGGCCGGTCTTCTAGCTTTCGATGCGACTCTGCTGCGCAGACCTGGCGTTTTTTTATGTGGTTTGTTTCAAACAATGCTATTTTTTATCATGCCTGACTCCTTTGTATCGTCAGATACAGGGGAACGATACTCATTGTCGCCGTTCTTCCGCAAAGTTGTGCTGTCAAATCGGTTCTAAAAGGCAAGGTTGTTTATTGTTACGAAGACGAGACGCCAACACGGTGCCGAAGGCGCCAGGCTGCTCCGAACTCCACCGAAACGGTCACCAGCCGTTGGTAGCGTGTGTTACTCAGCTCGCGACTGCTTCTGCGCAGAGCTTATAGACGAGCGGACGAGACGACGGTGAGTTAAGGCAAGGTTTATGTACAGCATAGAAGTAGAGGCGCTACAAATTCGGCACCGGGGCCGACCGTTTAGGGACTCGAAGAGCTGAGATGTCTTCTCTCGCAAGCTGTTACGAGGCGCACCGCCGACGAGGTTACGATGGGCGCCACGAAACTCGCCGCTGCCAAGGCCACTGGCCGCGCCGACCGCGAAGGGGCTCGAACCGACGAGAGGCTTCTCTGACACATAGGTCTACTGCTGGTGACATGCCGCAGGGCTTTTTTTATAGGCACGGGGGTGGATCCTTTGAATAACCAAATGTTTAACCAGAAGCGCCGCTGGCCGTGATGTCGGAATCCTCCAATGGGGCCCGCTGCAGCGCATGGTTGCACCAAGGACGAGATGTTGCCACGCATTGCGCAAGACTCGCCAGACTGGAAGGCGCCGATTGCTTCAGCGGGCTCACGGGCTGAGGGAGCTCGCGGTGCGTTGCGTGACAGACTGGCGCCGCCGCTTGATGACGTCGTTGAATTGATCGCGTCAGGCGGGCTCTATTGCTGGCCTTGACACAGATTGCCTTTTGCAGAGGCATTGACGTTGGGTGTGGACTCGCAGGCATAACATTATGGATTACTCATCTAACGTTAAAAGAATGCTCCTTCGGAAGGACTTAATTGACAGTGTTTTCCCTGTGCCTCTTAATAGATCAATGTTTAAAACTGACTTGGCGAAGATGTTCTAAAACGACGTAGATAATTGGATATCACCTAACATGAAGATTTTCTTTTCCAAACTAAATTGATGAACCTTGCCTGTGAAAACATGGCTTAAAGATCGAGGGACTTAGATACCGTGAGAAAATGTGTTTTCTTTGTAATAACTGATGACCGAAATAAAGGTTTCGGCACCAGAAAAAAATTTCTCGTAATATTAAGCCTAAGTCCTACATTAAAATTCCATTTTTTATTTGATTTGATTTTATGATGATGATGATGTTCCTCCCACATATTTGATTTGACTCCTCTATTTGACGCAATATTTCTAAAATCAACTTAGAAAGAACAGCGGAAGCTTGCGCTAGATCGCGCGGAGACACAGTGAGACTGGTCGACCTTCCAGTCACTTGAAGACCGACTCAAGAAACTTCAGTCAAGTTTGTTGTTACTAGGCGTTGCTTGGTCGTTACGCGGTCACAGCTATTCACTTGTTCGTCGCTTCTTTGATCTTTGAGAGCGACGCCTTCTATAGACAGGTATATAGAGGTCCAGAAAAGACGCTAGTTCTGCAGTAATGTAGCGTACCTCAGCAGTGTTACTGAGAGGTGGGGTAAAGGACAGAAAATATGATTAAGTGGGCCAGAAGAGATAGATGCGATTAACATACATACTCGACGACTACGGGGAGCTGCATGAACCATGTGGAGGAAGGGAATGCTGTTCTTGCGAATGCGCAGAACGCCCGACCTTATTGGCTGTGCTAATCACACGCCTGCTATAATGTTTTTCGTAATTTTAATTTGTGGAGACAGCCACCGCATTTCCTTTTTTGGTGAAAGACGCGACAAATGTTCGCATAAGTCAGGCGAAGTCACTACGGCATTCATCGTCTTACGGCGTGCTTTCCGACCGCTCACAATGTCCTGCTCCTTTTCAACGGCGGTTCACCACGCATGTTTATGAAAGTCATCAAAAGCTGTTCAAGCAGCTCGACACGGCTCTTGCAGATGGTTGTCCAGCCCGAGGTTTCGGCCACGTCATCAATGTGCGAGTACACGTAAGTTTAAAGTCCGACTCCGCAAGGTATCAGCATCGTGCTGGTGGGACAGGACGAGCGCGTCGGCGGCTGTCTCGGCGTTCAAGCGAGAAATTAGAGTAAGCTCACACATCACCTTCAGTCGATCTAGTTTATACTTGCAAGCGGCCCTGAGAAGACAGTCCGGCTTTCTGATGGATTCCTGTACGCACCCTGTGTAGACGAACAGCAAAAGATCGGCGAACACGTCAGGCTCGACGTCCGCGATGACCACCTCGTCATCCTCCATCGTCGTGTGCTCGAACATCTCTTGAAACACGGGGGACCGGGCAGCCAGGATGCTCTTGTGAGCCAGGAACGTCTCGCTTCCCACAATCAACGTAACGTCGGTGTGACTGCCACTCTCCAGGAGCCATTCCAGGTCGTCGGAGAGCCGGCACTTGGGAAGCGCCGGAAGCGCCATTTCGCCGCTCGTTCCGGGTGCCCTGGGGGTGCTGCTCTCCAAGGCGACGACTTCGCACTTCAAGGTCAGCGTGTCGTTGGGCAAGAGGTGGCTGCTATTCTGCTTCAGCGCCAACCTGGCGACCAAAATGCCGAATCCCCAGCCATCGCCCTTGCTTTTAAACATGCGCATCTCCGTGCACTTTCGAATGGCCACCTGCTCCTGGGCGTCGATGACTGAGAACCTCGCTCTGGCGGACACGCACCTCGTGTTGCACGAGACGAGAAAGACGGACACGAACTGTTCGTGACGTTCGTCTGATCCCCTCGGGAAAAGCTTGAGGCGCCAAGTCACGGTCTCGTCATCGCCCCCGGAAAAGGCTGAACTGAGCAAAGCTTGACCGGGACGCTGCTGGCACAGACTGAAATTAGAGATAGTCCACAGGTATAATAATTTGACAAGCTTCGGATTAGTGATACCAGACCATTCTGCGTCACTGTCGTCGACATCCGTTGCGAATAGCCTGTGGTATTACCAGATGGTCAGTGGTGTCACCCGCCTCCATAAATGACTGGGGGGGGGGGGAGCTCTGGCTGAAACGCACTCCTCCTTGGCGGCGTATGAGTATCGTTATGTGCCTGGTGAGAGAGAGGGGTTCTTGATAGCCTTGGCAATGATGACTTTTGTTTTGTTTGTTTCTTCAATACTATGGCATATACCCAAGTGTGGGGGATAGGCCGAACATACATAGTTTCAAATCTAGAAAATAATTTAATGAATGTGGAATGATAAAGAAACAGTGAAAAAATGGTAATGACCAAGACCTCATAGTATCATGAGGTCTTGGTTTGGACGACCTTTATTCGGCCCGAGAACACGGCAGCCGACAGCTACGGTGAAGCCGCAAGGATGATGATGATGACACACGATAACGATGAGGGTGCATAACTCATCGAACGCGTTATGATAATGATAATGTACCGGGGAATATGATGGGTGTAATAATTGTACACAATGAATCCAATAAATACTGCAATCACTCTACGATTGCGTTGATAGACCATGCTTTGATCAGAAAAAATACGAATATTGTTAAATTTTAATCCAATTTTGTTAATTTACGAATATTCGCTGAAGTTCTCGATTAAAATGGTGTTCGTGGCTTGAATGAAAGTACACACGGAACCGAAGGCTTCCACTGCAGCGATATCAGAAAGCTGGGGCAGCGAAGCTTAGCAGAATTTCTGCAGTTTGAAAGCGGAGTACTTCCAAAAGAAGTCCGTTTTTTTCTACCAAATCAGTGTCTGAGACATGACAAGTAATAGTGTTAAATATTATCTATTCCTTCGCACAATTTTCACAGCGGTCATATAGTCAGACCAGCCCCATGTTTAATGAGTTGGCTACGCATGAAAATCTTGTGATCCTAATCTCTGATTTTAGGGGCTCACATTCCGTCCACGTTGTTATCGATGCCTTCATATTCGTTGGATGGTTTTTCAGAATCTTGGCGCAACTCACTCCGGGCGATAGACAATATGAATCGTAGGGTGCCTTGCTAAGTTCACTTACTGAGTAAACAGGTTGAAAATGAATTGTTTAATCGTTACAGATTAATAACCTAAACTCGCAAGATTACAATGTCTGTGGCAATAGCTGATTAATTATCGAAGCGTCACCATCAATCGTTACGAGAACTTGATGATGATGATGGTGCTCCTGGCACCCAACGTTGCTAGATTACGTTGCTGGCACCTACCCACTCGGGGAGATCGGTGAAGATTCTGGCGCATCACACAGTCTTGAAACTTTCATTCCATAGTGCAGCTTATAGCGTCAGGTTAGAGAAAAAAATAGTTGTTCCTTCTGGTTTTAGACTATACTTACCATTTGCCTAAAGTTTGAAACATACAACCACCCAAAGAGGTTTTTTAGACGAAGGCCATGAACTGAAATTTGGCCGATCGCACGTTCCATGGAAATCGATGTTATGCGAAGCATGCGGAAAGAAGATGACTGTGTTGTGATTTTTCTTTGAGCGAAGTGTTTCACTATGACGCTAAAGATATGTATAAATGTTGTACGCACAGACTTATGTTGAACAGTCACGCATGTTTTATGTAATCAGTTATTTACAGCTGCGTAACGAGGCCAGCAGTAGCATGGATATTAGCTATATTAACACCAGAAGCAGTAAGCCATGTGAGGCGATATGGAGCGCTGTGCCAGCGAGGATGGTAGCCTTGGACACTGTGACATAAATCAGTTTTCGCTGATGGCTCTCAACAACAGTTGATGTTAACTCGACTGACGGCTATATTATAAGAGTACAGCCATGGTCACGTCTGTGTAGAGCGAGTGAGCATGCGGTTTTTGCTCTGCGGGGCTGACCCTTGAGACACTTTCGGGCTCTGACGTGGTGTGCCAGAAGGATGCGCGACCCAGCAGTAAGGCTGACTCGAGTATTGATGTCTTGATGGCTTGCAATTGTCCGGAAAGTACTGTATTAAGGCATTCCCATTCTGTTTTCTCCATGGTACTCTTGCAACTTCGCGGTATTATAACTTCACTTGCCCTCAAAGTGACCGAGCTCGACTCCTGCGTGTATTTTACATTTTTAAAATACCCGCCTCTAAAAGTTACGTCAATAAAACAAACTGTGTAGTTATTTACCAAGCATTGCTAAAAGCAACAAACCATTATTTTGTGAACATTTATAATAAAATTTTATAATATCCTAATGTATTGGTCCTACAACAACATTGTCGCCTAGCAACGCTGAAGACGTCATCAATGTAAACATGGCGTCGTGCGTAGTTTTCCACGTGTAGTCGCGTTCTGTTAGTGCTGTGTACGGGTTCTGTGGTAGTGAACGGCAGTGGCTAGCTTCCTGAGCTATTGAATTGTGATCTGACACGTGAAGAAGTGGTGTGCAACGCTGAGATAACGCCCCAGGTGTAGCAACCGCGATGAAGAAACGTCTCTTCGTCGGCAACCTCGGTTCTGCAGTGACTGACAGCGAACTTCGGGAGAAATTCGCCAGGTTCGGCGATGTCGAAAATGTCGAGCTGCATACCAAGAAGGATGAGTCGGGAAGGCCTTTCAAGACTTTCGCTTACCTCGACTTAAACATCGATCAAGAGAACCTCGTGAACTGTGAGAGATATGGCTTCATGAGTGCTGCTGTCCCATACCTTCCTTGCTATCGTTTCATTTTCTCTGCATTACCGTCTCGTTATTATGACAACGACAGAATGAGCTTTTTAATTTTTTTTTTTTGGGGGGGGGGGGCAGATTTCAGAGCAAGAAACGCATGGTTTCGGAGCTGCCATAAGTGTTTTCGGATCATAAAAACAGAAGAAAATAAATGTTCTGGAGCAGATATTTGTGTTTTAAAGCTGATAGCAAAACATGTCATACAACTACTGGAGTTGAAAGCACCGTCAAAGTGTCTGATAAATATTAAGATTTATTATGAAAGGTATTCAACATCCAACATAGATTGCAAAAACAAACATTTAGGACGATGGTTTGTTATTGAACGTGTCGTAAAATGAGCTATATATTTATTATACCAGTACTTGTAGCAGAAATGAGACCAGACCAGTAAATCTGAGTTGCACATCATAGAAGTAAGGGCAATCGCAAATAGCTGCTGCCAAAGCAGCAGATCGAAGCAGTCTGAGTCATTTGCACATTTCATCAAAGTAACCTATATGCCATGGATGGATGGATGAAAAACTTTTATTGGGGCCCTGAAGGATTCCACCCCCGTTTTATAGGGGTAGGATCGCGGCCGCTCCCACGTTGGGACGGGGAGGCCCAGCCTCCCCGCCGCATCATGGGCCTTCTGGACAGCCTTGAGTTGTTGTATGAGAACCGGACTCGTGAGCATTAAATGAAAAGAGTTCTCGGAAAATTCTTCTATATGCCATGTTGAAATAAAATAGCTAAATTAGCTCTGTGCCCGATATGCCAATTTTTGAAGCATAAATGAGATCAGAGCAGGTAAAGCTGCATGCTAGGATAATTGCATACAAACTGTTTTCGGTTCCTTTAAGGCTTATGAGTAGGTCACACAGTCTAGGTTCCTTTACATTTTCTCAGAGCAGGTTTGAAGCAGTCACACTTTGGAAGCATATTTATCTTTTAGAGCAGTTTGGTCCAATCGATTTAAGGCTTATGAGTAGGTCACACAGTCTAGGTTCCTTTACATTTTCTCAGAGCAGGTTTGAAGCAGTCACACTTTGGAAGCATATTTATCTTTTAGAGCAGTTTGGTCCAATCGATGCAGCTCTTCCATTATTGTTATACTTTTTTCTTCTGCAGGCATCAAAACTTACAATAACACCAAATGGAAAGGCAGTGCCATAGTTGTTCAAGTAGCCAAGGAAAGCTACATTCAAAGGTAGGCACTCACCTACCTGGACAAGTTGTGGACAAGTTGCGGTTCATGCATGATGCACACAACATACGGCAGAGTTTAGTGACATGGATGGTGATGTGATTAAGTGTGTGCTGTAGAATTGATTAGTTTTGGTGAAACTTGCCACCAGAGTTCCAGCCTCCAATAGATGTGGCTGATAGGAAGCACCGATATCATGTACAGTACTCACCGGATTAAATGTGGCATCAAACATGATAGTGTAATGGCCGGCATGCACAATTGCTCAAAATAAACGACATCACATTACCATGATTATGGCATTTAAACATGTTGTCTTTGGTCTGAAGCCCAAATTATGCCAATATGACCGGAAAACTGTGGAAATGAAAGCATGCATGCTACTGAGCTCTAAGAAAACCTGCATATTACGTGGCTTATAAAATGTTGTGAATACCGTACTGCGGTAGATGGCTTTGCCGCTGAGTACGATGTTGAAAACTCAATTCCCAGCAGCGGTGTCTCGGAATGAGGGGTCCTTTTGGGATACCTTATTCGTTTACAAGAAGAGCACGACAGATGCAATAACTTGTGCATAAAATTTGCCATTGTTTGATGTTTCATCACTAAAGCTTCTTGAAGTTCATGAGCACATGTCATAGAAGTGCAGTCCAAAATAAGCCAATGGCACAAGAAACGAATTCTAATTTCAGTTTGTGTAAACTGTTTGGCCAGGCATAATACTACCAACAGCTCTGTTAGCGTGATCCTGGAAAAATTACTGCTGGGTGTGTCAGACTTAGCACAAAATAGTGGGTGTATGTGCTCGCTTTATGAATGAGTCTAAGAGTAGGTCTTAAGCTGGCTAGCTCAAATAATAGAAATGTTTTTTTCACAGGATTCAGCGTGAAGCCAAGGCTCGTTCTGCCCAGGACACAGAAAAAGCGCCCTATGATTCTGTATCCTTGCCTGGACTGTCCAATTGATTCTTAGTGTGCTGCTCATTATAGAAAATATTCATAACTGTCTTAATTTGAATCACACTTTCATCATCACTCATATATTGATTTTTTCATGTGGTATTCACATGGATTCATGCTGGCTTTTCAGGAGGAGGTGCCGTATTTGTGGTGACAAGTGAGCTCTAATTCACTGTAGCCAGTTATAGCCAGATAATTCGTATAGTTCACACCTTGTCACTTCTAGTGCAGAAGTTCCTTGTCACTGCTAATGCAGATACTAGGCATATCAGAAAATATAACTTTGTTGTCCTTTCTGCCCTAAATGTTAGCTTCGGCTGAGTGCCGTTTAGTAAAATATGGGTCGAAATTTGTTAACGTGTTCACATTATCAGTCTGAAACCAGTGGCAAATCTGTATTATTGGTAATATTGCGCTTTTTGAAACACATAAAAGTTATTGTTGAAAATGAAATAAGCAAACAATATTTGTTAGTTAAGATTACCTGGAATACCTGCTAAAAGAACACAAATTTCAAGCGGCAATGGCACATGAGTTTTTTTAGGCTAACGAACGGGCGGCTGGAGTTTCCACTGGCTGTGTAGATGTTCTACCATGCTTGCCTGTGTATATGCGACGATTTTGAGAATCTGATTAGACCTGTTGCTGCTTGTGCAGCCATTAAAATGTGCATACTTGTAGAAGACCAGTGTTATGTCACAATGTGGGGTGTTGAAAAATCTGAAAACTGCGGGTGTGTGCTAGAGCCAATGTTTTGACAAGCGAATCTGTCTTCTTCAAGGCCGTAGTTTAGTTAGTTATCGCTTTGGACAAAACTTATACTTTTTCTTTTGTCCCAACTTACTATAGATGATGAATGCATTTCTTTGGCTGTTTATATTGCTCAACAAACTTCAGCAGAGTTGAAATTTAGTCAGCCAGAGCGATGGGAACTCTATAAATATGTAAATCTCTTTACTTAGCTCTATGAACTGCCTCTGTACTTCAGTACCTTGAAGATTCCCAAATCAGTGTCATTCTGTTCAATTCAAGGTTGAAAAGCAGTGCTGATCAGCTTCTGTTTGTTTGGGACTTTTACTCGAGTTTCGGAATCTCGCCTCCTCACTGCCTGTGATGTCAGTTCGTTGTTATTATGCCACGGTAATCGTCAAAATTGGTCATGCCTTCGCGATCACTGCTGTGGCAATGCTGTGATGTTGCTGTTTTTGTCATGCTGCAGTCATTGTCGTCTGCCAAACAGTTTTCATTGTGAGGGCATTGAACTGCATCGCTTGAGGTTCGTGTGTTAATATTCTTGTGTGATGTGTGAATATGGAAAAGTTGGCTTGTGTTCTAGTTCACAAATTGCTCTATGAGGTGCCTATAATATGGTGAAAGAAATGCCTGTTCAAGTAATGAAGTGCGGCAGAAAAATCTAGTTGACATTCGGTTTCGTGAGGCTCCTTGACTGCAGCATTGTGTTGTAGGCCGAGCCAGCCCCTCTCAGAAGACCTGCTGAGATTAAGATTAAGAAGCCTGATTGGACGGAGAGATCTGCACATTTCAGGCCAGAAAAGTCTGACTGGTCAGGCAGAACTTCGGGGCGGCTAGAAAATGAAACCTACGACGAGTCTGAAGGGGGCTTGTTGCAAGAGGGCCGGGCATCACGAACACCCACCATGCGACAAAAGGTGCATTTCATCGGAATATACAGTACATGTACTGCCTCTATTGCCCCTCATGTCCCTGATACAACCTGTGCTGTCTGCATTTGCTTAGAACAGCTCAGAAGGATCTGTTAAATATGTTGGGACACTAAACACAAATAATGAATGCTACAGTGGAAGATTAATGTTTGAGAAGCCCTATAATGTTAACAATGTCAACAATTGTAGTTCCACAATTGAAAAATTAGGTTATAAGACTTGACTTGATATTTTATTTCTAGCCCCTTGACATAGCCTTTATACAGTCTAATTTTGTCATGAAAGCACAGAAGTAGTTAAAAAAAATAATTGCTGTGCATTGTAAGGTAGTAGTCAAAGCTACTTGTAAATTTCTATTTTATTCTTCGAAAAAACATTTATGACATTATCCCCACAACGACACAAGTGATAAACTTTCTTTTTCTGCCCGGCTTTAGACCTCGCACACACTCGTGTTTCAGCAGTTTTTTTTTCTAGTGCGACACTGGCTTTTCACACTTGTAACTGTAACTAAAAGAAAATGGCACATCTATGTAATGAAGGAAAATGTAAATTTAAAGGCTCATTTTTTTTTTGAATTGGGTATTAAGAAGAACCATTAAACAACAATGGCGGAGAAAATATAGGGGATGTTATTAAAAGTAGTCGTATTGTAAATGGGGAGAAAGAAAAGTGGACAAACAGATGACTTGCCACTGGCAGGATTCGAACCTGTGACCTTCGAATGATGTGTCTAATGCTGCCGCTAACTGTGTTAGCGAGCGTGTCTGGGCACTTTTAAGAGTGGCATAAGCACAAATAAAAGCATTATGGTGTCTTTTTACCATGTTGCTCCTGAAGAAGCCGGTCGGGTTTCAGAATGTTGGGATCTAAATAAATCTCAGTATGAGTTTTTCCTCACTTTAATTCTGTAAACTTTTTGTACTGTAGTGGCAAGTTCACCTTTTATGAGTTCTTTCCAACACTGGAGGCTGCCTGAAATTGTTGGGGTTTGTACGTAGCTCGTTCGCTGGTATTGATCAAGATCGCTGCCCTACTTCAACGGTGTCATTTCAAGTGCACAAAAGACTTCTGACAGTATCTTGCGATATAAAATAGTTGCTGGTTGCTAGTTTATACAGCACTTGTGTTGGTAGATGGCATTTTTTTTTTTTTGTATAAAAAAGGGAAGAGCAGAGTGCAGCATGACAAAGACCTATAACTTAGCTGAAATTCTTAAATAAGAGCAAGCAGATTTTACAGCTGTGTGTTTGGGAAAAGAACAAAGGGGAATACAAAATTAAAGCCAGTCATACAGAACAGACTACTCAATTCCTTAGGAAAAACCTGTAAGTGATGCTAACAGATACACATGCCATTCGCCGATACCTGGACAAAGGCATCATTGTATCTTGTAGTTTAGGGCAATGAAGTCTACTTTTGGGAATTTGGGAATTCGGTTAGCAAGGGAAGAGGAACACATGACATCACAATGAGTACGCAAACTCAAAGACACCCTTGTGTTTGAACAGGTCGTGTGATCTGATTTTGCCGGTGTCAATGAAGTTGTTTTTGAACACCAATGGTACCATCATCGGCGGCAACTACTGACCCATCATATAAGTGCCTTGTTTCTGTCTGAAATAGTTAACTTTAGCCAACTGCACTAACTGTGCTTGATGCTGATTTGCAGATAACCAAAGGCGAGTTTGCCGATGAGAAAGCCTTTCTTTTTGATGACGAGGAGCAACCCAGCAATGACAAGCCTGTGCCACAGTGTAAGGCAGATGTCGCCCTCCTGCGTCATGCCTGGGGTTACCGCCTGGGTGCAGGCTTTGACAAAGGCCACGGTGGTGGAGACGACGATGACTTTGGGCGCCTGGGTGCAGGCTTTGACAAAGGCCACGGTGGTGGAGACGACGATGACTTTGAGGTGGTCCCCAGCAAAGATCCCGAGAAGGAGCAAGAAGCCAAGCGACAGGCAGCCAATGCCAAGCGTCTGGCATCGGTCAAGCAGCGCTTTGCCGAGAGCGACATGCAGCGGCGGCTACTCCGATCGGCACTGACATCTGTGGTAAGTGACTGCGCGAGTTCTATTTTGCATCTTTTCGACTGAAAAGTGGCCTCCCTTCTTCCAACGTAACTAACCGTGGTGTACAATGTTGCCATAGCTATGATAAAAAAGGTAAGAAGGTAAAAAAAAATGCAAGGATAGAAATAAGGCAGGCAGCGCCCATCAAAGAATTCGTTAAATGTACACTGGAGAGAACCCTGGCGCTAGTGTCTATGGAGCCTGCAACACATGACGCTTCAGCGAGCATGGGAATGATAGGTAGTACACCGATTTGTCTAACCTTCGTACTTCTGGCTCTGTGTGTGTTCGTGTGGCTTGCAGCTGTTTTCTCAGGAAACAAAATCTACAAATGTTCAGTGGTTGCGAAATCAGGTCTCGTAGTTCTAAAAAGTTTGTTCTTTCCTTTGAAACCAAACCGAAACACAGCAATAAACAAAGCCACAAGTGCCATTCGCCGCCCTCAAGTACGAGGACTAGGCAAATCTGTATACTACCCATCATTCCCATGGTCGCTGAACAATCACAGCACTACAGTCCCCTTTAGTTAATTTTAAAAATCTCTATGGTATTCCATGTTTGTAAACAGCGGTAGGCACTGTTGATATATGTATGTTTATGGTAGCGACGTCTACATGCGTAGGCTCTACCCACCTGTCCCAGCCAAAAGCGTGCTACTTCCCTCTATGATCACATGACATTCGGCGAAGCAGGTGCAGAAGCATCCTCCCAGCATGGTGAATTGGGACGCCTCTCGCATGTTTACAAGCGGCAGCCGCAACAGAGGAAGTTGCAGTGGCTGTAAGAGGAGCTCTGAAATTAACATATGAGCCTTGTTGACGTGTATCTTTGAGAAACTCACCAAAATATGAGGTATTAACAACGGGAATGCAGCTCATTTGCAAAATGCCTTCACCGTTGCTGCAGTATTCAGCACACTTGTACATTTTAATTTGTTAACTCTGTGAAATGTCATCGCTTTGGTGGCAGTCACACGTGTACATTTTAATTTGTGAACTAATGCAAGAACGACAAGCCCTGTTCAGCAAGAAGCTCTAGGGTACGGTATGCAAATGTGCAGTGTAAGAACACGAATCGGTATGACAAATCCTTGCCTGCGGGTGGTGCAGTTGGTGGCTCCGTGGTACCAACCAAAAAAAACTTGCTGCCGAAGAAGTTATTCATGGCAAATGACCGGGGCGATCTCGGTGACACACATTCTAAATATGCTTGCGATAAATTCTTTAACTACATGCTGGGGCTCTGACGGGTTACTTACCCGTCAGGTCTGCGGCTGGATTTGTACGCCTAGTCGAGGCCGTGAAATGCATTTAGACCGCTAACAGAGCCTGCAAGTTTCCCAATTACTGTATTTCTCTTAGTTCTCACAGACCTAAATAGGTTGTGAAGCTCACTGCAGCCAGAACAGCCCTCTCCGATACGCAGTGTGTCATCGCTGCTGCATATCAACAGAAAAAGCGTAGTCTAAGTCGATGCTATCTTTCGTCACTGCTTTGATGAGCCGTGCCTAGCAGAATAAACCGCAGCGCTTGATGACTGAGGGACACCATTAGTTCACACGAGTATAACAAAATCGTTTTGATATGCCCAAGACTCCTGCAGTTATATCAACAATAGCAACCATGAAAAAAATTCTCAGCATTAGACAATGCTATCCACAACTTTAGCATTCTTTGAGGTAAACATGCTTGCTATGTCTCCACGCAAGGCTTATTTATAAAAAATTACAGTGCACACATTACAATTACCAACGCTACACAGAGGTAATCATTTTTGCTAGGTAAGCCACTCCAAAACCTAACCAATGAACTGCCGTTGAAGGCAAGTTCTTGTTAATCTCGGCTAATCTTCTTGCTACTGTCTTTGTAAAGAAATTTGAATAAAATAAAAGACATAGTTCATCTTTCTTATGCTTTCCCTCACAAATAACCACGACAGCTCGTTGGTACACCGTGTTTTCTTTTTTGCACAATGACAAACAGTGCATGCATCAGCGACACACAGGAGCAACTGAGGTAGGCACAATGGCTTTTGCCTACCACACAAAACTAAATGCCTGATGACAGCGCCACTGCATTTTTGTGACGTATAACTGGTGAAACATGGGTTGCACGTGACCTCATTTCCGATTTGCAAAGCCAGCGACTGTCAATATTTAGGAACATTGAGTCGGGCTGTGCATGCAGAAAACCGCCTTGTCGAGGCTTGTCAGCTTTGTTCGTTTTATTTTGTGCAACATGGCAAAAGAAAATGTGCACGCGCCTTGACAGCCATGCTTTGAAGAGCTTGTGGGGCCAACTCGGGTACGTTGCTGGCAGCGGCCCTTGTGATTTGCGCATCGGCAAGTGCGCTGCTACAAAAGAGGGTTACAAGTTGTTGGACGGCCACTAATGTCCTCAGCAGCGATTGAGAGACCTAGCAGCAAAGCAGCTTCTATTGCAGCATGCTGTTGTTCTAAGTGAAGTTAGTGATGCTTTTTCAGACACCAGTCGAAGCCTGTTTCATTTTGTCACCTAGGAGAATCATGTTCCAAATAAAACTTCGTTTTCGTCCAGGTGCATGGACATCGACGTATGTCTTAAGGGAGCACATGGGTCTTGAAAGCGAAAAAATAGCAAAAAAAATGATTTTTTAATTTTGTGTGTATTGCATTCAGGACATCTTCCTGCACGTTCTTACAAAATTCTAGGCTTGTAGAATGTATAGCTTTGCCAGGAGAGAATACTTACTTCGCAAACCATCTACTTTCACTCACAGGAAATTCCCTAACTGCCGATGCAGAGAGAAAGAGGGGGGTCTTCAGTAGCCTTTCATGCAGCTGCTAAGCGGAGGCAGAAGGGAAAGCCCCACCCAGGTTATTCTCCAGGAACCTTCTGAGCCAGTGGCAGTTGTGATTGTGCTCATCCAGAAGATAAAGAGCTTTTTTGACATGGTTATTGGTTTTTCCCATTTTTCTCAGAACACTTTTTTGGTCTGTCTCCACTTTTCTAATGGGCTGTTGTTACCCTTCTAATCACCCAATTCTAACAGGATCTTTTTTTATCTGATAGCTAGGCTTCCTCAGAGCGCAAGATGCCTATAGTGCAATGTTTCTTCTTCGTGAAAAATTTTGAAAATCTGGGCACACAATAGACAGCGAATTCGTGTTTCATGTTTATTGTTTTAACTTTTGTAACTTGGGATAAAATATATGTAGAAACATGAAATTATGCTTCTTGCATTCATTGAGCATTCAGGAATATATAAATGTAACGTTTAGCTTTCTTATTGTAATACATTTTTTTGCCAGTCATCCCAGAAGTAAAAAAACAGAAAAGCTGTGTAATTTTTTTGCATAAGATACACAAAACCTAGTTGCATATTTGTAATCAGCACATTAAATTACATATTACCTGCAAGTTTCATTACCCCAGCAGCAATAGCAATAGATGTTTCACACAAGGTCCGTGTGCCCCCCCTTAAGGGGTGCGAACCTGTGTTGCATAGCAGTGGGGGAAGTGTTAGTGTTGTTTGGAAGGAGCAGATGACCCTTTTGCACTGTATTTTCTGCTTCGGGGCCAGCGTTCGCTCTATGACAGTACCCAGTTTGCTCTAACGTAGCTTTTTACTGCTGTGAAAACACACGGATGCTCCAGTAGTGGTCCGGTCCGGTCATAACGGTCGTCGCCCGACAGGAGGCTCTATGCCCAGTCTGGGTTCGCGTCATTCATTAAATTTACAGTTTTTCCTTAGAAAAAAGACACCTTCATACATGTTGCTTTGTTAGGCCAAACTTGTCAACTCGAGACGGGCTTATACGAGGAGGAAAGCTCATCTGTACGTCATCATGAATATGTAGGCCGCATTTCCGAAAACACCTTTACTTGTGATGAAGACATGAATGCGTTTCTTTAATGCATGCCAGCCAAGTGTTATGGCGCTCTTTGAACATCGTTATTTATGCACACTGATTAATTATGATCGTGGGCAAGCTAAACATTCCAACGTGTAGATGTGCCTTGCCTTTAGAAGCAGAAGTTTCACTTTTTGTTCTGCATTTAAAACTAGAGCAAATAGTTATGATGAAGCCGGTGACGAACCTGAAGAGCACATCTCCCCACTGCAAGGCTTCTGATTATGATTCCAAGTGTTTTGTCACATGCTGGCTTTCAGTCTTCTTGTTCCTGGATGTGAAATCCGTGCAATCCATGCGTAGTAAAACATGCCTTTATGGGGTATTGTTCCACATCTTGCCTGGCTTGTTACCACTGAAACAGGATAAACGTCCTATAGTATTAGTATTGTTCCACACCTTTCAAGCTTTCACGTGCTGTAGTGGTATCTTTCAAATGTGAGTTTGCTAGTGCTCTCAGTATTGTGTCCTATTTGAATATATGTCCACCTTTCTTTTTTGGGAATGCGGCCCGTAATTTGCTGACAAGCCATATGCATCATCAAAACCAGCAAAAGTACTGAGTTATTGGAGTTTCACTGCGGCTACTGTCGTTCTTGAAGCAGTGCCAGCTACACTGGTACCTTAAATATGCATATTAGCAGAGAATTGATGCCCCAGAAAAATGAAAAAGAATGGCATCAAGACCTCATAGTAAAAACTTCTGAAGGTCCCTTTGCTGCTAACAACAGTCATGTGTCAGCCACTGTAGCTGCACATGCCGGCATACTCAATCATGATCTCTTGTCATTGGATTGAACAGTAGAAATGAGCGTGGGGTCGTCTATAGAATCTTTAGCACTGTATTTAATTTCATTGTCAGCTCTCTCGAGAAAACATAGGCCTCTAAGGCCATGCATTTGCTTGCAAAAACTGACAAATAGGTTTTGTGTGGACTGGTTGTCAACAAAGCCGTGCCTTATGTTAACAAAGATGCACCATTATCCAATTTTTGTTTGTCAAACGTTGTAGGTTGACCTATATTCTAGTATTTTTGTTTTTCATTTTTCATAGACTTTGGAGCACAGTACCTATGGGTTGACCTATGTGTATGTTTATACTATTTTTGAGCAGATTCGGTAGTTCATTGCACAAGCAAAAAAAGTGGCTTTGCAGCACTACCTAAGTTCTACATTATATTTACGCTTCTTATATTTATGCTACATTATATCTACGCATTATTTACGCATTATATTTATGCATAATTTTTTTGCTGTTTCCAGGATAACTCAGACCGCAAGCGACACATCGTGTTCAACGACAGTGATGAAGAAGAAGCCGTTGTGACACCCTCTGTCAAGGCGTCTGCGACCACACAGTCGAAGCTGACCCTTTTCGATGATGAGGAAGAAGAGCAAGGTGATGAGGAAAGTCCAGACTACAACTTCAGGCTAAGGCCACAGTTCGAGGGCCACAAAGGTCACAAGGTCAGTGGCATAGCAATGTAGGTGGGGCTCCCTGGTATCTTGAAAAGTACAGCAGGAATTATAAGCACGAAATCTGAGAACAAAGAGCAAAAGTATTTTGCAGTGTACTTACCTTGTTTATTTTCAGTTTTAAACGCTTTGCGGTTTGTTGCGAGCCCCTGCTCGACAACACAATACGACCTACAGTGGTTTGTGATGTGGCTCTGCTGGACAATCGCTTTTGCGATTCATTCAGATGTGCATTTTCTCGCTATCTGTAAAAGAGTAGCCTTCTTTTACTTGAGCTTTCATGTCTTAATTTCGGACCAGAAGGTGCAGAAGGCAGGAAAGGGTTTAGGACTGCCAAGGGTTAATGTTCGGTGCATAGAACAAGATACTGTTGTTTACCAACATATTGTTGTCAGGTGCCATCTAGTATCTGGAAAGTCCAGGTGACACATGAACACGGCATGTAGGTGTGTTTTAGTTACAAGCTAATTAAGCTGACTTGGATGTTTTGTGTAGCCTGCAGAATACCACCTATCATGTGCATGGGTTACTTGTACTTGTTTTGTTGACTTTGTTAGATAACTTATTAAGTTATTCAAAAGAAAGACAAGAAGGGAAAGATGGAAAGTTGCGATGATAAATTCATAAATAGGTGTGTGCTGGAGCTGACGTTTTGAAAAGTGAACTTGGTCTTCTTCACGGTTGCAGTAGGCTGTTGCCATGCTACTGGCATTATTAAAGCACTGAGCACAGCTGGTTCTGCAGCTAATCGTTGATCTAACTGCGCACTTTGGTGACCAGAGGGCAACTGTAACTAAATTAACGGAGACCATCTTCCCACACATGCACGCATACTGCAGTTTATGAAGCTCGTTATTGTGTCTCATACAGCTATAAGCTTCTTTTGACTGTCAACTCTGTAGTGGTACAGAGTTGAGCTGTCTACTAACAGTTGGGTTTTCAAAAAAGGTTGCAGGGAATCTTTACAGCGGGCCTGCAACACTTTTTCAAGTAGCCATGGAATGTATTCAGTAATGGAGCTTATTGGCTTGCGAATAGACTACCGCAAAAAAATTTTTAGAATGTGTCCGGTACGAGCGAAGTTGCAAAGATTGGTCGCAAGCTGCAATTGCTTTCTGTCCTTTCCTGTCCTGATGAAAGTGCCAGAAGCTAAGCAGGGAGGGATGGCCCAAGGAAAAGAAAATACATTACGTGCACTTCATGACCTTGAGCATTTTCTCTCTCTTTTTTTTTTTCTTCTAACGCGCTGCTTTTTAGTGCGATCATGCAGACAGGTTTCGGCCTCCCGCAGCAGCCTCGGTAACACCAGAGTGTGCCATGCTCAAATCAGTCAGTGGCAAGACTTCCGCCTGTGATGCAGCGGTCTTTGAGTATGTAGTATCATTTGTCGAGAAAAGACAAAGTGATTTTTAGCTGGCGTCAAGAATTCATTGTACATACCAGGCCTGCGCTCTGTGCTATAATACCTTGCTCAAAAAGTGTTGCCGAGCCCTTTTAAGCATTACGAGAAAAGAAAACTTTTCTTTTGATCCAGTTGTGTTGTGAAGCAGTGTGGCATATTGGTGTTGAAAGCCAGCTGATGTGTTGGATAAAGACGGGCTTTTTTCATGGATACCTCGTGTTGCCGACATAACCGCACTGATGCATTGCACTGACTATTCCTTTTCCTTCTGCCCTATTGAATCAGGACTTCTCTTTCTACTGCGAGAATGCCCCTCTTGTTCATCGCAGCAGCGGCGCACTTTTTTCTGCGGTATTCGGTGGAGTCGGTTCTACTCGGACAAGTCTTATGCTTTCCAGACACTGCTTTTGTGGACCCAGCCGTGTGCAGACTTTCCTAGATAAGAAGCACTTTTCCGTTGAAATTTTCATTGCTGGCACAGCATTTACTGGGAGATGATGTGCAAGGCTTACTACTGAAAGAGTATATTGCTTTGCACAGGTCTTTTTAGGTCCCGGAGCCTTTATTGATTCTGGCCAGATTGAGTTAGCAGGTGTGATGTAGCTCACATATTCAGCCATGACCCAGTTTAGGCCACGGTTGTACACAAGTCAACAACGTCCAGGTAACCTCCATATGCTGAGCCTTTTCCATCTGTTAGTCGTATTATTAACACAGTGGACTCCCAATAAACGAAACTCGCTTAAACGAAAGTGCCTCATTAATGGAACTGAACGGGCTCATATGGCTGGATTTCTATGTGTTGTACAGTAAAATTCATCGGTAAATCGAAACAGTGCTTATTGGTCACCTACGGTTAAACGGCACAAACTCTAACACTAGTATAGACTCGTTCAGGCCAAAGGTAGTCTCACAACTATGGCAACACCTCGAGACAAGTCATTTCAGTAGCCATTTCCACTTGTGGCTGTGAGAGCTGAGTTGTGTGTTAGGTCTATTTGTGCGGCTAAGTGCGGTCGATCACGGTGTTATTTCAGTCAGATGGAAAGGAAGCGGCAGCACCATGCACTCTCGCTTGAAAAAAAAAGCTGCGAATTCTTCAGGAGCTCGATCGAAGCGGCCTGCCCAAAACAGAGGTGGCGAAAAAATACGACATCGCGAAATCGACGCTGTCGCGGATCTGCAAAGACAGAGAAAAGATTGAAGGCGCTGTAAAGAACGGGACCATTACATATAAAAGGATACGGATGTGGACGACACCTTATGAGCAACTAGAAAAGTTCTTTTTCTGTGATTCAAGTGTGAACGGAGTTCCAATTTGCCCATAAGCGGACGAATTCTCGAGCAAAAAAAGCTCTGAGAGATCGCCATGCAAATGGGTGTTGAGAACTTCGTCCTAAGCGACGGATGGCTCAGCCGCTTCGAAACACGCCATGGCCTAGTCTTCAAAGCAATTTCAGGTAAGAGTGCTACATTTGCACCAACTGGCAACAGGGGCGGCTTAAGGAAATTTCGACAAGCTTTGAGCCACGAGACGTCTTCAACATCGATGAGATGGGTCTCTTTTATAAGGCGCTTCCCTTGAAGGCGAAGTCTGTAGTGGGGGAAAACGCAGTAAAGATCGCATCACTGTGCTGGTGCGTGCCAACATGGCAGGAGATGAGAAATTGAAACTGTTGGTAATAAGAAAATCAATGCACCCACATTGTTTCAAAGGCGTTCGACACCTTCTCGTTGCGTACCATGCGAATGGGAGAGGGTGGATGACCATGGCCATTTTCGAAAACTGGCTACGGGAGGAAGACGTAAGATTTACGAGGCAAGGCAGGAAGGTTGTCTTCATCGTGGATAATTGTCCAGCCCACGGTCAGGTTGAAAGATTTCAAGCCATCACTCTTGAGTTCTTGCCAGCCAATGCAACGGCAGTGATCCAGCCGATGGATCAAGAGGTTATTCAGAACATCAAAGTTCATTACCGCAGACAATTGCTTCATTGAATGCTGCTTTGTGCAGAGAGCGGGAAATGCTACAGCATAGATTTATTGGCAGCCATCTACATCTTAGCTTGTGCCTGGGAGCAAGTCAAGGCAACAACAATACACAGATGCTTTCATCATGCTGGCTTTCAAGTGCAAGAAGCAGTACCTGATGAAGAAAGCCCTGCTGACGCCGACATTGAGGCAGTGTTCTGTGAGGTCGTGCCCTCTGCCCCTTTCACGCTGCGGGACTACGAATCAATTGATGAAAATGTTCCTACCTGTCGTGAGGAGACTGTCGAGGAAATAATTGCCGAACTGCAAGGTGAGGATCAACTTTCCTGCAATGAATGTGCTGACAATATTGCCAGTGCAGTGGTGCCACCAGACCGATCAGCTAAAGAGGCTGTTGAACTTTTGCAGCGCTATTTTGAGCATGAGGCTTGTCCAGAATTTCTGGCTAGTTTGTCAGGCATGGGTGCGTACCTTGTGAAAAAACAACTCAAGCTTGCCAAACAAATCACCCTTCACTCCTTTTTTTCTCCTACTCATCCTCATGAGTTAGATGAGGTTTGTGCTATTCGAATAAAGGTTTTGATTCACTTTGCTTTAATGTAAAGTGTACTTTGCTTAAATGAAACTTCTGATAAATGAAACTGTTTTATGGATCCCCTTCGAGTTCCGTTTAAGAGGAGTCAACTGTGATTGGTTGGTGTAACTTAATAAAACAATTACAGACAGAAGACTGAAAGAGAGCTACCTTAAAACCACTGCTAGGAGCACCACAGTGCTTGCTGCTTCTCCAATCCATGATTTATTGTTTGGCAGCAATGAAAGAAAGAGAATGGCCCTTTGTGACTGGAGAAATGGTTAAGAATAAATCGGTAAGAAAGCCCTTGTTCAAAATTCAAATGGAAGCACTTCTCTGTTCAAATGGAAGCACTTCCCTAAGCGGCTGACCCCATCCGCAACGCCCACCAATGTTGCTCAAGATTCAGCGTTCATACTTGTGCGATTGTCAATTAAAAAGCAATTATTGCGCATATCTGAGGCACCATAATAACACGTATATATCCTGTATGTGGGTCTTTTACTAGAAAAGGCATACATAGGTAATTCTAAGGACTGTAGCATTTATCACGCTGTGATTACCATGCAATGCTTGCATGAAAAGGCAAGTGTTTCCAACCCTTTGCTAAGACGACACGGTGGCAATACCTACCCGTCGCCTTCCGTTATACACCTTATCACCTCTGAGACGGGCACGCACGCCCACCTCGAAGTCGCGCGCTTCGTTTTCAAAGAAAACTGCCCGATAGCGTTCATGTCTCACGTGTGACGTCACTTGATGTGCTCGTTCGTCTCCGATGCACGCTTGAGGCACTTTAACTCAGCTCCTCCAGAATACCATTCACCGATTTTTCTTGCGCAGAATATCAAATGTTTTGTTCACTCTCTTCACATGCAAGCCTACCGTCTTTCGACAGAATTTGCAGATTAACATGCAGATATTGGGCCAATTTTTTTCGCTGGCAGCAGCGTTTCCTGTTGTTCACTTGTGTATTGCGGGAAAACATAAGCCTTAGAGCTACGATCCAGCTAACACAGTGAACGACCACCTGTGATTACTTTCAATAATTCAAAGTTTCTTGCATCCCACTTTTGTACCTTTTGGTATTTCAAAAACCCGCTTAATTTGAAAATTTTTCACAGCCCTAGTGACTTCGAATTACCGAGGTTTCACTGTATATGTGCTACAGCTGTGACCAGAACACTGTGCTTCTGGAATTGCTCACAGCTTTTGTTGAACATGCTTGGCATCTGTGCAATCGGGCTTCTTCGACCATATTTGTGTTGCATGGCTTGCATACTTTCCGTATTTTCATATACTTTTCACAGATACTGGAGCTGCAGTCCAAGTTTGGCACGGACGAACGATTCCGCATGAGTGAAAATCTTCTTGGAAAGCGATGACGAAGAGTCTGGTGGTGTCCAAGGTGAGTGGACTTGGAAGGAGCATGCAAGCAGATGTGTGTAGCGTTATAAAATGTTTTGCTCATCTATATTCCCAGACTCTTTACTACAAGCTTGCACGAATGTCACTTTTGGTTAGAAGTGAAATTCAAAGTGAAGTTCCCTAGTCCTTCAAGTATTTAATTCAAATATATTAAAGCTTACAGCTAGTTCTACATTGAGCCCAACATATTTCTTATGGGATCAGTATTTCATGGGCAGTGTAAATGACGGCCAGTGAGAGCTATTTTTATGCAGTGTGTGCGTGTGTAGGGTGGCCAGTGAGAGCTATTTATAAGTTTATGGTGCATAGTCGCAGCTATGCCCCTTGCTGGGACATCCAACAGGAACATTATCGCAGTATAGAAACTTGGAGGGCACTTCAGTTTCACTTGTAAGAGTGGAATGCAATAGTTTTTTCAAATCTCATTCACATTGCATTCTTATTTGTTTTTCGTGCTTTGATCCCTGATAAACATAGCAACCGTGCTGTGAAGGCAGGAACGTCTGTGTATGACATCCATCATTGTAAACTTTCTCGGGGCGCCAGCTGCGAAAGCGGTTGTTGAGTGCGCACTACTCCATTATTCACCATTTTACAAGGTAGCGAAGCACTACTTACGAAACGGCTTGCAGGTAATATGCACACCTGCACAGCTGAACACTTCGTTGATGCTGTGGCCAATATGGACGATGGATTATCGCTTAGCTTATGTGATGGGTGGGCTACCCATGTTGTGATGAAAATAATATGTTGTGATGCCTGGTGTGACTTCAGCCACGCAGTAAGATTTGCATAGCTGCTTATATAACTCTTTGCCCGACGAGGCATCTATCTCATTATGGTCTTTTTTGGTGTCGGACTGAAGCAGTAACATGGCTCTGTGGTCAAATACTTGACTACCACACAGAATGCCTGGATTCGTTTTTGGCTCAGCTTTATTTAATTAAGATGTGTTGCTCAGAGATAACATCGCTGAGGCTGATGACAGTGGATTATTTTGAAAAACAGGCTTTTAAATGCTGGATAGATGAAATCAAAAGCACCCCGTTCAAAGCTACAAGAACAATATCCACAAACACGAGACGCCTTTCAAAATGCTCTTTATGTTTGAACGAAGCACTTTGGGGTTCCGGCTTGTCGGCACGTCGTGTTGTCATGGTCTCGGCTTGTTGGTATGTTGTGTTGTCACAGTCCATCACAAAGGGCCTTGTGCAACGAAAATTGGGTAAGTGTCACTGCTCACCAACAGTCTACACTATGCATATTAAGAGTTAAAGGTTCTTTTTTCCTGCCTAAAGCATCATGTTTGGCTCGGCTGCATTGTCAGTATCCCTGATGGAAAATTGCCAAGGCACCCAAGATTCTTATCTAAAACCAGACACAAACATACATCTCTATAGCAAAGTAATCTATTTAGAACACCGCTCTTTAAAACATAGCTGCAAAGTGATGGTGCACTAGTGGACCAGTTGGAGGGAAGTAAAGCAGTAAAGGTTTTGCTGTTGGAAACACCGGCGCACATTGCATGCTTAACCCCTCCGCAGGTTTCGGAACATTGAAGCTGAACGATCCTTCCCACATTCCCCTTCACCACGATTCTTTTTTTCTGCATTCGCAATATGCCTTGTGACACCGGTAAGTTTTTCTCTGGCCGGCGACTGGCCACTATTAGTACAGTATTATTGCCCAAAATTGGAAACTGGCCTGAGTACAAGCAAAGTGATGCAAACGCAGTGCGGGCAACAATGTCGTGTGCATATGTATTCTGCTGTTAGTATCCTGGAGGAGCGAATGATGCAGGGTGTAATACCCCAAGGCAGTTACATTGTCACTGTGGAGCGACGGATTATAAATTCGAGTTCCTAGTATCGTGCTTCGAAAAAATATTATTAGGTTGACACACTTGCTTTCGTTTTATTGTAGACAGGAATACTAGTTAAGGAAATGAGTGAGCAAGTGTGTTTTTTGTAATTTTGCATTCCTTAGGGGATGAAGCTGCCGCAGATGATGATTCCCTAGACCCCAGAAAAGAGCGTGAGCGTAACTTGGACATTCTCCAGGATGTCTTGGGGCCAGTGGCACCCAAGATACGCCCTAAGGCCATCTTCAGGTGAGTCCTGTCTCTTCTGTGCTGTGGTGCAGCTTCATTCGTTATATATTCTGATGTGCGTGTAGCAGAACCTCATTGAATGGGAGTCGCTCGATTGGAGTCGTTGCTTTAGTGAAACAGCTGCGTCTGCTTTGGTTGCTTTTATATTTCGGTGCTGCAACCCGGTATATCCTTGTGAGTAATCGAAACACTCAATAAGTTCAAAGTATTTTACTGGTCTTGTCAAGTTTCAATAAAGAGTTTTCACTGTAACCAGCAGACAGTTCTGAAATATCAAGCAAAATACAGTAATCTTGTCAGTTGAGTTTAATTATTTATTTGGAAATAAAATTATAGCCATTTGTCTTTACAGTGCAGTGGAAAGACTTGATGAACTGGCTGTTAAATAATGGTAAATGCAAAACATGCTCTATTCCCGAGCTCTACCAAAGCTGGCAGTGAAACCTCATTAACTTGGATTTATTGGGACTTGAGGAAGAAATGTCCAATTTAGCTGAATGTAACCTTGTTAACTTTGATTTATTGGGACCTGAGGAAATGTCTAAGTTAGCTGAATGTAGAGTTATTTAACATGTGAAAAAAATTAAAAAATAAACAGATGCTCACTATGTCAGTGCATTTATGTTTACTGTGAGAATCTGCAAATCCAGTTCTTAATTTGCATAAAATCAACACACAAACTGCAGTTCTTTGCGTCTTGCATCTTCCTGTACCATGTGGCTGCAACACAAGAATTGACAGAGACATGGTTTTCACCTCTGCTCTTCTACGCTGATTCGGCTATTCCTAGTATCACTACCATGCTCACTGGATAATTTTTTGGCCAGTTAACTGGCCAGCAATGGATAATTTGTTTATTGTAGTATGAGTAGATGGAGAGTATGATGCCAGTGCCTGAACCATCGCAGAATCTCTCTTCATCTGTCGCAGCTTCCACCATGTTGGTAAAATTGTTCGTGCATCTCAACCTAGTCAGAACAAAGCAATGTTTGCCACAGTTCCTGTAGTGTAATATAGGTTGCTAGCAGTGTGATTATGTGAGACAACTCGTGCAGTTGTGAAAGCGTGCAATCAACGCAGAGGTAAATTTAAGCAAGCATAAAGCGTTTTGGCTTTCCTGGTGTGAGTATCTATGTTCTTTACATTCCTTACCATGACGAAAGCACTTAATATGGTACCACTTTACTTCGGTCAGACCCTAACACTGTTGACAACCCCACCCCTTGGTGCATATTTACAACCTTTATGAAAGCCAACATATGATGAAGCAGAGGAAAGTATAGCAACGATGCTGGGACTGTTATAAGTGTATTATGGTAACTGTGATACAGACAAGAAGAAAGGGAAGTGGATTAAAACACAACTTACTGCTGGCAAGTATCGAACATGTGATCTTCATATAATGCACCCAATGCCCTTACCAGGTAGCAGGTTCAGTACCATTTTTTTTTACTTTCTTCAAATGGATACAGCCAAACCAGTCTATAAGGAATTCGAAAGTGCCGCAAAAATTGGTCGTTATACCGATAGTTTGTTTTATAAGGACTCACCCTTCAAAAATGGGCACTGGGTGACCAAGTTCTTTTTTTTGCGCATTTTTATTGAACTGGTAACAACTGCTTCTGTGACACTTATTAAGCTCTTTCACAGCTTGATGCAACACCTGGTGCGTTTTGGTGGAGTGGTGTTTCATAGTTGTTTTATCAAGAATGAGGCGACACACAAGCTAAATTGTATTTGCGTACATGCCGACAGCACTATACCCATGAAAGGCAATGTTGCTGTATCCTCAGCCTCTCCTCATCCTTCAACTTCTGTTGAAGCCCAACTGATGCAGCAGACAAGGTTGTGCTCTCTTCGAGTTAGGAGTTTCAAATCTGCCTCGTAGATGTCAAAATACAAAAACATTTGAAATTTTGGATGCTAAAAAGCTTCTGCATCCTATTTTTTGGGCTTCCTGCCAGCATTTCAGGTTAAAAACAGCATTGATTGAGCCCATTGATTGAGACAGCATTGATTGAGCCTATTTGCTTCTATTTGAATTAAAATTATTGTTAATTCAAAGTATTCGCAATAAACAAGCAAACATATTCTAGTCCGCTTGTAAAGGTAGTTTCACTGCAGTATAGGGGTGCTAAACCATGAAAGCATTTTATAAGAGGTAATCGGCTCTGCGGGGAAGCTTCTTTTTAAATTTAAAGGGCCCTGCAACACTTCTTAAGCATGGTCAGACAACGCCACCAATTGGTTGCCGAGGCTACCGAGAACACGCGAGCCAAATGTTATAGTGCAGCACGTGGCCTGCAATTCAGAATAAATTCTCAAAGTCAGCTAAAAATTGCTTTCTTCTATCGACAAAAGATGCCACGAGCTTACTTGTCACAGCCATTGTATCAGCCGTTGGCTGATTTGCACTTGCACGCTCGGTTTTTACTGGGGCCGCAGGGGAGGCCGTCACTTGTCCACGCCTATGTGTGCGATCCCATCGAAAAGCCGCGTATTCGAAAAAAAGAAAAAAAAAAATGTCTCAAAGTCAGGAGGTGCACATGACGTTTTTTTTCACCAGTGTCATCTCTGCCTGCTTAGCTTCTAGCGCTTTTGTAGGGACAAGAAAAGAGAATGCAATTGCAGCGTGTGACAAATCTCTGCTACTCTGCTTGTATTGGACCGATTGTAAAATTTTTTGTGGTAGTGAATTTGTGAGGCAATAAGCTTCCTTAATAAATCCATTTCATGGCTACGTGGACAAGTATTGCAGTGTCCCTTTAAATGAACAGATTACCCTCAAATCAATTTATCATTTTATGGAGCTTAAAATTTAAGCTTGTTGTGACTGCTTATATGCTCTAAGTATAATAAATTTTGAAATGTTACGTAGTTCGCAGGTTATCTCTTGCGTCCTACTGAAAGTCAAATTCTGTTATTGCTCCAAGTCGTTTAGAATTCTTTTGAACAAAAAAAAAAAAAAAGCGGCATTCATATAAAGGTCCTGTTTCAATTAAAAAAATATATATTGTCCAGGTTAGTCAGGTCGTGATAAAAATGCCCATTTTTATTCATATGTCATATATACTATTCGAATTCGGTTCAAAATTATTCAACCAAAATCACTATTCCCTTCGAATTTAGTTAGAACGTAAAATTCACGATTCCCACTAGCCTAGTTCCTACATCTGAGATCATAAAAGAGTTTTAGAGAAGAAAAATGCCACTGCAGGGGAGTGTGATGAGCTGAAGCATTTGAAAATTCGAAGGGGGCAACTCTAAATCAGACGACCAAATGTAAAAAATCCGATCATAGCAAAACCCTAAAGGCAGCTTCGCCGCAATACGAGGATGTGCTGAGGTGAAGTACATTGAAAATTTGAAGGAGTCACTTTTTAGTTAGACATTGACTGCATTTGTTTTTGAGTAGTTTGAATATTAAGATTTCCCGTGCGAATGGAATAGCAAAATTTAGTCTGCCACTGAATGAGAAAAAGTTCAGCAGCAGACTTTGTCTGCCACTGAAGAAACTTTTAGAATGTAAGCCACCTCGCTCGAAGCCTAGGAAATATGTGTGCAGTGCTCACTGATCTCGAATATTTTCGTCGTAATTAAGCTGGAGTGGGATGCGTGTGATCGCATGCCATTTTCAGCTTTATAAGGCCTGCTATAATTCTTTTTGCTTCGTATGCACCTTACATTTACCGTGATGGTGTCTGAAGCATTCATTTGTAAATCAGGGAGGCTTCAAAAGATGTTCACTATATATAGATGCAGTTGCAATTTGTAGCATATAAAAATAATAAGAGCGCTAAAATGAGGTCATTATGGTTGATAGACTGTTATATCTGGGATCATTATAAGTGGGTTGAACTTATCCCAATTATTACAATACGCTTAGCACAGTAGAGCCAATATTCCCAACATCGTCCTTGGATTCTGCTGGTTTTTATTTAGGTTGTGTCAGACAAAGAAACAAGACCCCGAAAAATTCCCTTCTTTTCGTTGCACATTTACGACACTCTGCACTTTGTATTCTTTAAAGACCATCATTGTTGACGGAGGGTATGGTCATGGCCAATATAATTGACTAAGTGAGTACCTAATACTATGTGCTTGCCAGGAGAAGAGGACAATCTAAAAATAGCAAGCTTTTTAAATTAATGGGGGTTGAATTACCAAAACTTCGCAGTACAAGTCGCCAAGCTGGGTCTGTGGGGCACTTATCTCATCAGTGAAAATGCCATGTTCTGAATGCCCCTTCACCCTCACTGGGAATGCGCGAGCACCTGCACCAAGTATCCTCCCCACATATGTCACACTTAGTACTAAATGTTTTTGCTGAAGGTAGCAAAGCACCCAACACCATCACTCGCACGTGAATGAGGGTATTGGTGGCGATAGTAATGGCTGTAACATGAGGTGTTTGAGCAGTGCTTTTTACATGTAGCATAAATAGGTGGTGCTGCAATTAACCCACTACAGATGATGAAACAGTGCTCAGGTTCTGCCACCGTGCATCAATGGTCCGAGAAATCAGAGTAAGGTTTTTTTAGAGCCATTCTCATTTCGCTATCAGTGCCTTCAATCGCATAAATGATAACCATCATTTCAAATGCAGTAAAAGCTCGTTAACTCAAATTCCACGGGAAAGCTGAGTAATTTCAAATTAAACAAAATTCTAAATAATGAAAGTGAGTAAAAATGGGTGGATTTCGGGGGTGGGGGCACAAAAAATATTTATTGGCCAAAAAAGTCGGTGATGACCATCTGCTTCTTTTCTCTGAATGCCACAGCTGCGGCTCCCTGTTCCAGCGCGCGGACGCTGGCACAGGGAATCCTCTTCACCCTCTTCAAAGCTGAAGAAGAGACGCGCCACATTAAGTGCCTCCATCACCGCAGAAGCTGACAGGCGCACAGGCGCTTCGTCATTTTCGTCTTCCTCACCTTCTGGCTCTTCAGTATCAGGCTGCGCACCGGCTACTTGAGCGATAATGTCCCTCATCAGTCAGGGCACCACACACCGATGCACCGGTGTCAACTTCAACATAATCGGCAAAACGTACGCCCCGAAGAGTGTCGCGCAATGCCACTGGCATGAGCTCCTCAGCCCCATCCACGTCGACGTCACAACTATCCTGTGCACTTCCAGCTGCAAATCCACTGTGGCGGAAACAGTTTGCGATTGTGGTCGCGGTCACCTGTTCCCATGCGCGCACCAAAATGTGCATGGCAGTGAGCAGCGTAATGCCGAAGTCCTTCCTGTCGCCCGCGCACAAAATAATTCGTGAACGAACAATGTGCTCGAGGAACAAAGTGACGCTGCCGGGAGCAATCTAGGACTGCTAGGACTGCTAGGACTACTCCGCCGACTCCTCAGCATCCCGTGGGTCCCGTGTACAAGTGGCGCCAGGCGCTGAGATAGCGGGAGGGCTTCCAAAAAAAAAAAAAAAAAAATTGCTCCCTGGATTTTGGACGCCATACTTTGCTCGCCCTTTGCTCAGAGGCCACTTGAAGCTCGAAAAAACTGGTCGTGCCACCTATCGTTCGACCGTAAAAGCAACCACTAGTGTTTGATGATGATGACGCTCGGCGGCACGCGCTTCGAATTATCCGTAGAGGCAGCAATTTTTGTTCGAATTAACGAATCATTTTACACATAGTCTCCCATGCACTGCAGACCGGACTGCGGCGACCATTTCGAATTATCCAAAACTTTGAATTAATGAGGTGTGAATTAACGAGCTTTCACTGTAGTACACAGTACATTGTGATATAGTTTTCTCTGTCCGAATCGACTGCACACTGCCATGAGTTTACGCTGGGCCCATCTTGTAGGTAAGCATCGAGGTCTGTTTATGGTTGGTACAGGAATCATTGTCTTCTCGCCTGCTGGCTTCAATAAACAATGCTGTACTATATTAGCAATGGTGAATTGTTCTGTTTCTTTCTAGGGATACTACACAGCTACGTTTTGACCCAACTAAGGAGAGTTCTTCCAAGTTTGAGATCAAGCCAGAATCCAAGTAAGTCACTCTTTACAGTACTCTTTTTTTTGCAGCTCTTACTCTCGTAAAACTTGCCCAAATCGATTGTGCCTAGATTGCCATCCCAACAATTCCCCTGTGCAGGTTTGTGCAGATAGCAAAGTTGTGCATGCAAAACCAACCCAGTGCAACTGTCAATAATTATGAAATTGGTTTAATGTAAAACTATTTCACTGCTATGAATTCAAGAATACCAAATGTTTTAGAATAAGGTTTTGAATTTGATACTCCTTATATCTCTACAACACTTCAATATAACAGATGGTGATTTAAAAAAGTTACTCGCGGCTGTAAAAATAATGCCACTATCATCATCATCATAACACTGGCGTACTTGTCTATCTCCCAGCTCTATTCATAGTGCGAAAGCCCTATCGCTATGGCCATCATCATCATACTTATTTTTCGTGTCCGGCTTCACCCCATTCCTTCTGTTTTCATCGGGCAGCTTTACCTGCACTACAGTGTACTAGAATGGGGCAGTGTGCTCACTGAGGGGCTGAGAGTGATGGACTTCATGTCTTTGCCGACAGGAGGCGCGGCTGGCAGTGTCACCTGAAGCTTTCCGGTGGTTTGAAAGGCGCGGCTAACGCGCGTTGCTGTTTTGCGCGTAATAAAAATGGGTTACGGCGTGTGTGCAAATTTTATGTGTGTTGTATAATAAATTACTGTCATTGTGGAGGATTCACTTTAGGTGGGTGATGTTTCAAGCGGTCATTGCTTGGATGAATACTCTTCCATGCAGCCGCTGCAGCAACGGGGCGTGTAGTTGGATGCATTCAAGCTTTTTTTTTATTTACTTGCTAATCGATACGATCTTCAATGCTGATTCACCACTGTAGCAATAATAACGACTTCAATGTCGCCCTTCGAGCCCCAATGGGCAAATAGAAACAACGCCTCATTTTCCGATTTTCTTTTTTTCGCATATGAGCGGGTGTATTTGTAACTAACTTACATAATGCTTTTCTTGCGAGTCATTTATGGATGAAAGTACTTGGCTTTGTGATAAAATGCATACGCATCATAATCTTAACAAACTTCTTAATTACCGACGTAGATCATACAAGGTTACGAAGGCCGGTTGCGTTCGTAGGCTAATGTGGTACTAACGGATACAATCAAAAATATCTATGCATGGTTATAATGAGTACATAACAAGTAATGTACATCACGTGCATGCACATATTTTTACTATACCATGGAATTAAATTTTAGCACTTGTTCAGCATCGTGAATAAAATAGGACATGAATAAACACTCAACGGCATCACATACGTGTTGACAAATTCATGATATTTGCACAACACTATGTCTATGTTTGCTCAATTGATTGCTAAGTCACATTATAGATAAAAAATGTAGAAAATAGCACTCAAGGTGAAAGATTAAAGAGATGCTAGAAAGGTGAACAGACATCTGCTAATCGACCATAAAAATGAAAAGAAAAAGAGATATGCAAGGGATATTGAATGTAATTCAAAAGCTTATAAGTAGACATCCAAAGCCCGAAGACAAACGTCGCTACTGTGCAACTCCAATAAAAAAAATGTTCAAATGATGTGCACGCTATACAAAAATTATCGCAAATATGGTTGAACGCCAGCATCAAATCTAAAAAAAGTTATGAAGAAAATAGGCGAACAATAAAACAACCCACACAATAACACCCAGAAAAGCAAATTTTGCATCATTCAATATAGATGCATATTTGGTGGGCAGAGTTGTCCTCAGCCAAAAATTAAAAATAAAAAGGCCGATCTCGGAATGTTGTACCGATCCATTTCTCTATTTTCACCAAAGCACGATTATGACTTTGTAGTCACTGCCTTAATGTTTTTTTTTTTGCTTTTTTATCACACTTGACCTCGCGGTCACTCCTGCATGGGTCCAGCTCTAGCACTGCCCCGAAAATATATCTGCCCGTAAACAGAATTCTTAGTGTGCATGACTGCTGGAGGCTGGAAAAAGCGTGTCCTTTCCGTCCAGATGCAGCAGCAGGCCGTTTTTGAGATAGCTGCAAGTTGCGGATACACAGCTAGATGCCAATCCTTCAGAAAACCAGCATTTGCAAGTGCAGTAAAGCTGCTCATGTGATACCGACAAAGGTCCTTCAAACGAATGAATGGCGTGAACATGTGCTGCAGCTGGGCACACACATATAGAAACAGCAGCTTAAATTACTCGGGCCAATTGAAAAATTAAAAAAATAAAGGTTAGGACCCCTAAGCCCTTAGTATCTGTATACACTACATATATTTATCTCGTACGTCATTGTGAAGGCCCTCTCCTCGCCTTCAAGCTCTTGTTTAACACCCCCGAGCTGCAGTGTTACCAGCGTAACTCCTGGGAAACGCGGACGCTCTTCACACACAGCAAAAGTATTAGATGAAAAGTGTGGCAGCGGCCCTGGCAAGTGCCCAATAATTCGACGATAAATCCAATGGTGAAACTAAACTTAAACTTCTTGTGAATAAAGTTGCTATGATTCTAAATTGTATGCTTTGTCCACCTTGGGTGCTACAGACATTTTGACATAGGCTGTAGTGGCGATGTTATTATGTTTAGTGTTTGTTTTAGGACCTATGCACTGCTCACATCCAAAACAAAATTATTAGAAAATGGTACATTTTAAGAAGAGTTTGTTAATTGTAATTAATTCACTCTATCAATTATTTCCTTCTGCATAAGAATTCCTGAAAACACTACAATTTACTCAAATAGGCCCACGCACCAGGGATTGAAAAAATACAAAGTAATATAAAGAACTGTACTTTAATAAAAGCGCAACACTCAAGAAACACAAAAGAGCAAGTGCTGAGAGTACGAAACGGTCAATTAGTGAGAAATTTTCTTTTTGTTCCTGGTTTTCCACTATGTTGGTGTCAATAGGTGTGCCGTAGGACTTAACATCATAATAAAATATCTTATGAGTGTTTGCTGAGCTTCTCGCTTGCTCGGAGCCGTGTCTATACAGAGGAGATTTGTATGGCAGAGTAAACACACCTTTGAAAAATGGTCTCTGTACCTTTTTAGGAAAACAATATCACTTTTGGCATACTATTATATACATTTGTGACCCTCATGTGTCAGCAAACTGAAATTATATGGTCCTTGTATATGTCACAGTCAAACTTGAACAGAACTACGATCTCCATTGCAAATGACTTCTGCGAAATCTCGTGATATGGAAGAAAAGTTACAAAAAGGATAATTGACGACGACTTGTTTGTAGGACGAAGCCACAAGGGAATCCATAGGGATTTCTCGGAAGCAAAAGCCAGTGCTTCAAAAAAAATTTGTCAAAAAAAAAAAAAAATCGAACCAGAGATGAACGTCTTTCTGTGGCAATCGATCTAGCCATTGAGCTGGCTAGGATGCTAGCATGTGGCTGCAGGAGTGCAAATTAGTCAACAACTCGGACACAAAAGCGGGCAAAAGAGTTTCACCACAAAGTAATTTGAACTACAGCACTTTCAAAAGACAGTGAAAGAGAAAACATTCTCATACTGAAATGTCTCTAACAAAAAGTATTGCCTATTCTTAATGAAATACTTTTTATTTTGAAGAATCACCCACCGTGCTAACAAACCCATGTTGACTTTGTAATTAATTTTGCATACAGTGTTTGCTGATTAAAACATGACAATTTAGAACCGTGTAATCTTGGTGTAAATTTTACTCTGAAAACTTACACGAGAGCCAATATCACTTTTAGTGCACAGGTTCATTGTGACATGATGAGATTACCTGAAGCAGTAACACCTACTAAATTTTATTATAAGTTTAGATGCCACATTTCAATGTGCTAGCACTGTGCAGCCATCAGCACCTTTAACGGGAAAGTTCCACTGCATGTCCTGCCGCAGTTTGATTGACGCTCACACCACGTACGTTTGTATTCTGTTGCCGAGATGCTAACCATACATGCCGACAAACTATCTAAGCCTACCGAGGTATTATCTTGGCAAAAGCACCCAGCACTTTGCGGCTGGCATCAATCAAACTAGCCCTGCCCACGCATCGAAGTGTTCGTTTTAAAGGTGCTGACAGCTGTACACGACTTGAACTGTTGCATTACTATGAACAAAATATATTTTTGCACCACTTGCTGATCAAATGCTCGTCTCACACGTTTAGCAACTGAAAGCTTGGCATGTAGGCACAGAATCTGAAGCTGCTCCTTTGCAAGCATGCAGCAGTCGGCATGCACCAAGACAGCATGCATTAGTCACAATGACTTTGCAAAGCTATTGGCTGTCGTTATCGCTCATTGTCATTCTGCCAGCATTGCTTGAAGCTCTTCTGCCTCAAATGTCGCAGGGCGTCGAAAAGAAAGAAAATGCGCACAGAGGAAGAGAGTGCTGCAGCTGTGCCGCAGGTGTCTGGTGAGCAATTCTACGAAGTGACCTCTGACCTGCAGGATGCCCTGAAAAACCGGTCGTCAGGGTTCAGCCTTTCCCAGATGTTCGCCGAACAGCTGCAAGATGACGACATGCAAGGGGGTATGAAACTTCTGCCTCACCTATTCTTCCCCTTTAAATGAAGCTGACTTGACTAGTTGCGCACCTAAACCTCAGTACAATCAAACCTCATTATAAGAATCCCAGATATAATGAAACATTGGTTTTTAATGAAGTAAATAAAATAGTCTTGAAACAAAAAAAGTGTTAGGAATATAGTGTTATAATGAGTTTTCAAATATAACACACTTGTTTCCATGTAAGATGCAACTTCGTTATGGTGAGGTTTGAGTGTAATAACAAATTGTGTAAAGTGAGCAGTTTACAACATCATATGAAAACCTTCGTTATATTGAAATTCAACCTTCTGTGCAAACCAGAGCCATTGATGGGTTCTGTTTCAGTTGTATAACTATAAAATAGTGCAAAGCAAAACACAAGAGAACACACAAACACAAATGCTGTCAAATCAAATTTTATTTGCACGTACTAATGTTTATTTATGTGTTGTGTTCTCTGGGCTTGGATCTCATTTTGTGGTGCCATATTATAATTATGAATTCATATGCACTCACCAAATTTTCACTTCTGCTTTTCCACAACACAACTAAGATTCAGTGGTTTCGAACCTGAGAGTATGGAGCATAATTTTTTACGTTTTATTGTCATGGTGACAAAACTGGCAACCTTGTCACTTAGAGTGTCCTCTTTTAATCATAGCCAAGGAATGTCTGTTGATCATGTTTCCCTGGACATGACTGCAGAACCCTTCGGCAGCAGCAGTAGCAGTGAGGCTTCGGATGATGAGCAGACCAAATATCGCAGCCGTGTCCAGGAGGTGAAAGGCAAAAAGTCTGGGCTCCAAGATTTCTTTCGCGCAGACAATGACACCGGCGAGCCTGCAGATGCCCTTCCTTCTGCAGCACCTGACGGGACAGGCGATGATGAGTAAGTGTTAAATTCAGAGCAGTTATAGTTTATCAGCTGTCTGTAGACCTGCACCTCACTGAAATTTCCTGCCTACAACACATATGATTCAATGAGTTTTAGTCAAAATCTCTTGTTGGTTGCTTTGCTGTTTGTTTGACAATTATGAGGTTTTTTCATGCAGGAGATGTCTGCATATGCTTGCACACTCCATCTTCTCTTTATATGGGGTAATGTTTTGTTAATCAGAAAGTTAGGCATTTAAGTCTCGTTACATCAATGGCATGCAAGGTTATGAAGTGTCTAGGCGTTTCAACTGCATTATTGACGATACCTTTTTGGTGTCCATGTCATGTGACATTGTGATATGACATAATTGCTCGGCCATGCGACCTTGCTTGGTCAGATGTGATTGACTGGCTCATGTAAACATGTCAAATGAAGTGATTACTTGATCGTGTGCTCAAACTTGGCCGACGCCTCCTCGGAAAAAAAAAATGCCTGAGGTCATTGCTAGTTTTGCCATTAGGAGCACGCCGCCACATGTTTTGAGCAGGCGCTTTGTGGTTGCTTGTGATTACAGTCGTCGACAAATTTTTCAGACTTGTCGAATATTTTGGACTTGACAAATGTACCGTCAAAGTTTCCATTGCACTAATGCATTTTCATGACCAATTTTTCAGATGAATTCATGTTCTAAAGTTTGGTTTTCCAGACTAATCATTTGTTTTTAGCTATGCCACTCAATTTTTAAAGCCGACATGTTGGATATTTTGTTGACTTGGTCAAATTTGGTTTAGAGTGGCTTGTTGTGTGGCCTCCAAGATTGGAAGCGGGCACAATCTTCTCGTTTCGGAGGCCATGTCTGATCTTCCTTGGCCAGCAAATTGGTAAAACTTTTCTTTTTCAGTCAGCCGTTTTATCATCATTAATATGCTGGTAGGTTGTTTTTATTTTCTCAGTGTTTGTTTTTCTGGTTGTCATTGCACATGTGGTCCTGTGGTCATCTTAGTATACTGTGTGCCAGGTCTGTTTGAGCCGTCATGCACATCACATGCTCGATGCCGTTCGCGATTGCTCAGTAGCACTTCGTGATCACGGTGGTCAGCTACTGACCCAGAACATGAGGGATTCGATCGCGGCCATGACATTGGCGTTTTGGTGGTGCCGAAATGCTGAAGACTCGCATGCTGTGCGGTGCAGGTAAAAGAAGCCTAGACTGTGTTGTTAAATTCCACCAAACAGGCGAGATGTTGCATGCATCTTTTGGCGACCGCCACCTAGTTTTGTTTGCTTGGTTCCATGGAGCCACCAACTTTGCTGCCCGCAGCATTCGGCTGCAGCGATTGCCAACGTGCTTGCCAACGATGTTACCGTAGCTCAAATGGAACCAAATTTGCTCGTCCCCAAGAATAGCATGAAGAAAGGAAATTTTTTTAGGCTTTCCTAGTTTAAATAAACTTCATTTTCATCACTTGACCATTTTTTTGAACTGTTCCATATTTCGGATTATTTCACAGTCCTTATTTCACAGTCCTGCTTTTGAGTGCGTGTTTCTTCTCTTTTTCGACCGCTTCCGCCTTATCTTTTATTGTGCTGCGCTCGTGATTCCAGCAACATGAATGCGCCAGGCGGGAAGCGGAAGCGCATAACGCTAGATCAGAAGCCGGCTATGATAAGAGCCGTCGAATCAGGGACCAAGAAAGGCAACGTGGCAAGAGACTTTGGCGTATCCACGAGCACACTGTCAACCATCTTGAGCAAGCAGGAGTCCATCATCGATGCTGTTGCACGTGGCGTGAAAGGAAGCGCTAAGAGGATGAGGGCACCTGCCTTTGAAGCGGTCGAAAGGGCCGTTTTTGAATGGTTCTTGGACACGCGGGCCGTGAATTTGCCGGTGAGCGGCGCCTTGCTGCAAAGAAAAGCGAGAGACTTTGCCTGCATCATGGGCTATGACAACTTCGTAGCAAGTTCGGGTTGGCTCCAAAGCTTCAAGGAGCGCCACGACATTGTCGGGAGAGCGGTCTGCGGCGAATCGCAATCTGTCGACGAAGCAGAGGCTACCAAGTGGGCGAAAGAAAACATCGTGCGGCTGCTAGAAAAATACAGCGCGGAGGATATTTTTAACGCAGACGAAACTGCTCTCTTTTTCAGGATGTTGCCGCACAAGACGTTAGCCCTCAAAGGCGAGCCGTGCCATGACGGCAAACAAAGTAAGCTGCGGATCACTGCATTACTTTGTGCAAACATGACCGGCTCTGTGAAGCTGCCAATTTTCGTAATTGGCAAAAGTGCATCCCCTCGCTGCTTTAAGTTTCAGTTTCAGTTTCAGTTTTATTGAGCATTTTCTTCACAGAGTTGCGAAAAAGAAAACGCAAGGATAGGAGCAAAAAAGCTGCTATATTAGCAGCTTGACGAGGCTCCTACCCCTTTTCACTTGGCATTACAAAATCAGCAGAGCACAAAACATGAAAAAACAATTTGACGTCGATTTTCAAAACTTCAATAAATTAGGAAATAAAAAGAAAATGCATCAAAATTACATCAGTTTCAGGTTTACATAAAATAAGCAAACCACATAGAGAGAAAAACAACAAAAAACAAAAGAAAACAGCGTGCGGTCAATCATGAAACAATGCACACGTTGCTAAACGGCTACCAAAGTATTACAAAATGATTATACATCGTTTACAACACTGGGTATGCGAAAAGCACAAGTTTTAATGCACAAGGGAAACACTGACGAGTGAAATGTTGCATGTTTCACTCGTAAAAAAAAAGCAATGAAAAAAAAAATGTCAAAGAAAGCAAACATTATAGGATGCCATGTTACACGAGCACTATTATAGGGTGTTTCTTTTACATATAGTACTGTAGCCGGACAACTAGAAGATGCTAAACTACACGCCGCCATTTTGGATGAGAAGGTTCTTAAGGGGAGACGCGGCTCGAAAAGTCGCGGTTTTCCGGAAAATTTTCGCTTTTTTTTTTCCGGCTGTATTGGCATCCTTGGACTATAATCTATTACTTCTGAAAATATCAAGCTGAAATTCGCACGAGAAATTATCAAAAAATGCTTCCAAGTGGGCAGCGGTGACGCGAGAAATGCGCGAAAGTCGCGAAAAACGGCGAAGTTCGCGTCGTCCTGTCGCGAAAAGGACGCGTTGGCCGCCATTTGCAATCGTGCACGCATGCTGCGAAGGCCGTATCCTTCATAATCCACTAGTAGCCAGTCTCGTGCCTTCACGCGTTTTGAATATCGCGGCACACAGCGCGAGGCCGCCATTGGACGGCGGTGCGCTCCACGCTCCTCCCCCTCCTATCTCTCCGGCAAAAGAGCGAAGCCTCGGACGTCGCGATCGAGTTTTTCTGCGGTTCTCTGCATTTTTGCGTCATGGCAAGCCCGAAGAAGTGCAGTTCAGATAATCGAAAGTTCAGAACTCGCCACAAGTATCGAGGGAAACGGCGTCGGACGCTTCGCAAAGCGACAGCGAACGACGATGTCGCCCCCGACCAACGCCCCGACGCTCCGACTTCGGATAGGCCTAACACCGTCACCGAACCCTGCGACAGTGGTTGTGAAATAGCCGCTGCCGTGGAATTCGTCAGTGCATCTCAAAGGAAGATTGGATTCTTCGAGAGTGAACGTAGACCGGTAGATGCTGCTACTGCGAACATGCTGCTTTGCGAAATCGATGCGCTGACGGCACTTGTGGCGGGTGCGCAATGCCCAATCTGCCGCGAACGGAAGCTCGGCGTGCGAGAGGCAGCTGGAAAGCGCAAAGGACTTTCGGCATTCCTCGAACTGTGCTGTCAAAATCCTGATTGGCCTGAATCTGCACTTTTCTTCACGCACACGTCGAGACGTACTGCTTCGGCCGGGGACCAAGGAACGAGCGCTCGTTTTGACAGCGGCAGCTCGCGTGACAGCTTTGCTGTAAACGTGAAGGCAGTTCTGGCAGCACGCGCTATAGGCGCAGGCCACGACCAACTTTCACGATTTTGTGCGATTCTCGGTCTTCCGAGCCCGATGCATCACAAGACATTCAACGGCATTTGCAAGAAGCTTCATGGTGCGGCGATGACGGCAGTGAGCAAAAACTTGCACCAGGCACGAAACATCACGAAGGACGCAGTCGGCGGCAGAGATGTGTCAGTCATGTTTGATGGCACCTGGCAGAAAAGAGGTCATAAAAGCCACAATGGAGTGGGCACAGTCGTGTCCCTGGACACGGGGCTCTGCCTCGATTTTGAAGTTCTTTCGAACTACTGCCATGCTTGCAGTATACACAGGGACCTTGGGGAGGATGAAGAGATATGGCGAGCTTTTCATCTTCCAGTTTGCCAAAAAAACACTGACTGCTCATCCCATGCAATGGAACCTGCGGCAGCTGTCAATATATGGCAGAGGACCTTGTCTTATGAAACTCCACTGCGATTCACCAGCTTCCTAAGTGATGGTGACAGCAAGGCCTACACTGCAGTCTGCGAGGCAAATGTATACTGTGACACCCCCATTGACAAAGAAGAGTGCACGAACCACGTTGCAAAGCGCTTGGGAACTGCCCTACGGAAATTGGCAACGCCACTGCCACGAGGCAAAAAACTGAAAGATGCGACAATAATAAAACTACAAATATATTACAAGATCGCCATCACGAGCAACAAGGACAGTGTCCGAAATATGTACACTGCCATATGGGCATCGTATTTTCATTGCTGCTCCAGTGATGGTGCCAGTAGCCACAACTTTTGCCCCGCGGGACCAAATTCGTGGTGCAAGCTCAAGCGTGCGGAAGCACTGGGGGAGCCTGCACCACGCCACACCCCACTGTAGACGAAGGCTCAAGGATTGGCAATTATGCCTATCTACAAGCGCCTTACAGAGGAGAAACTCCTTATTCGGTGCCTTCATGGCAAGACACAGAATGCAGCCGAATCGCTGAACAGCAAGATATGGCTGCTATGTCCAAAAACGAAGTTCGCCTCCAGAACAACTGTGGAGACAGCCACCGCTCTTG